AATCTGCAAAATTCTGCGAAAAAATCCCTACAGAAGGTAAGTTAGTGGTGCAGTTTTTTTAGTGGCTTTGTTAAACCTCGTGACATCACAGTTGTCAAGGTATTCGTCTTGTACTTTAATGGTCTGCTACTTGAATTGTTGACTTCATGAACGTTTTGTCAAGTCTATAAGTAATTAGGTACTTACAAGGAATCACGAATGCAATGCGACTGCCTCATCAGACAGGGAATTCCCATCAGTGTCTGTGTAAAATGATATACTGCGCATAAAAATTAATGTTTGTATTTGAAATAACGTTTCAACAAGCTCTTGGTTTGAGCCGTTTAAAAACTTGTCGTGTATACCTACATACCTCCTACTTTCGACTTGGTAAAAATTACATCAAACTTGTGCCTTGAAAACATTGGACTGGAAATGTTTGTGATAAAACCTGTTACATGTAAAAATAGTAAAAACGAAATCACAATGCACAGAAGAAGAAGAATATGAGGTGTATGAAGCACAGGTTTACTGAGTACCCAAGTATACACGTTGTAACGTAACAGCGAAATAATCTGGGCAATGCGACAATGATCTTAAACTAATTACTTAGACCAGAGACGGGAGTAATATTAGCACTTTATCTGTTTAACAACCTTGATTAGGACGTTATATTAGTTACTGTAGCGTCACCGGCGCAGTTTGCTTTGTATGGAGATTACGAACATCAGATTAAATGTTCCGGGCACAGGAATGTTTCGACTAGACCTTCTCTGAAAGCATTTCATAACATGAAATAGGTATATATTATTTTACAAATTTAAAAGCAATGCAGATAAATGGCAGCAGTTTTATGGCAAAGAGCATGGCCTTTATTTTAAACTCACATGTCCCTTTCATTGAACAAGTTGAACAAGTAAAGGACCTATCAATTCTTGATAATTACATATATATCGATATCGCAAACGGTTCCATCGATTTTTTTGAATTTTTGTATTCAGGGGTTGCAGGGGCGATAAATCGATCTGGTTAGGTTTGAATGTTAGAAATTGTTGTTTGGTCCGTGTTTTCATTTCATAAAAACTCTCTATAATACCTTTGCCACAGGACATTCAGGTCTAAACCTCGGCTCGAATGTTTCTTTTAGATTTCCTGTTTTCTATTTTATCTTTTGTTCTATTTTTATTTGTATTTCGTTCCCTTTTTTTCTATAATTATTCTTTATTTTCTAAAAAAACGAAACAGCACTAAAACGGCGTGTAAAGCTCTGTCATCCAGCTACTAAAATTAAGGAGATCAACTAAAGAATTTTGGTTAAACACATTGTTCAAATAATAGTTCTCAGTACTAAGAAAAGAACATTACTCATTGATTGTGATGATACTTCTATACTTCCGTTTTCAAAAGATATAAAACTGACTCTTGGATAGAACTTACTAGTGGACAGCCCAAAGAGTTTACGAGCGGTGAACACAATAAGTCCTAGGAAGCAGTATTTGGTTTGAGTGCTAATTCAAAGTTTATAGCAGGTTGACACTCCAGGGAAGGGTTTCCCAATCTAGGAATTGTGAGTCGTGACTCAGTGGCCCTTTCTATACAACCGACCATAGCATTATTCTTCATAGTAGTTCCTATTTTTAATGTTTAGAGGGGTTAGATGTTATGTGTGTCTTTGGATAGGTCGTAGACCAGAAAATATTCGGAGTCGCGGAGAATATTCGGAGTCGCGGAGAACCTAACGGGTAACCGGGGCTCCGGCTCGACACGTGCAGGAGAAGGAACGGGGTGGTTTTTAGTCAGTAAGAGTCTGACACTCCCTTCCGCCTCACCCAGGCGGGAGCAGTCATTCGATGATTTTGCCCCCTTAAAAAAAAAGACCAGAAAATATTCGGTACACACTTCTCTAGAGTGGTAACTTAGACCCACATAGAACATGAAGATCATGCTAATGATACAACTCTATTACAACTAATGATAATGGTTGCGCTAATGGCGCCCAGATTAATAATATCGTGCAATAGGTTCTAATGTTTTTCTTTCAAATGATAACGACGTAGTTTTTATAATAACACCAGTGTTACTAGAATTATCTTCATTCTTCATGTTCACGTGCTATTTATTATTACATTGTTTGTAGACCAAAATTATTGTAGAATACAATTATGTAGGTACTTAGAATGAATAGAATTTAGTTACAATAAAATAATGTCGATGCGAAAGTAATAGTTTTGTGTATCAACCAAAATGTGTTTATAATCTACATAGAAACGTAAACCAAACTTTGCTTAAGATTCCTTATGTCTGCCAGTTTTAATTTCAGTTTATTGTCATTTCTGAACCCTTCTAACTGCCTCAAACAAAGCGTTATAGGTACTGTATATACATAAGTATGAGTACGAATAAAACGTCTGCCTCACAGTGCCAGGAAAACAGGCCCTTTCTTCACAGTTATGAAGAGCCAACTTTTTCAACGGCATTTAAATTTTTAGAAGTTGAAAGAAAACTTTGTACTGCCAGCATTTTAAGGCTTCACTTGTGATTACTTGCTTACCTATTGATCATTTTTCTTCATTGTTGGTGTCTGGGTTCTTGAAGACATTGTTCGTTCTAGTGTTGGCTCGTTTTTATTAGTAAACTATAAGTATTGTTAAAGTTTATAATGTTTAGAATAGGTCCCTAATGTTTTCCTTACTGACTACTTTCGGTAAAGTGGTGTATGAAGTCCTTAACGTCTTACTACGTATTTTGTACTTGATTTCGTTCCATTTAATATAGCGTTGTAATAATTCTGTGTAAGTAATTCACACGAAGTCTTTCGCTTCGAGTTTTCTAGTAAGAACCGCTAAGGAGTGGAACTCCATGCTGTGTTTGTATTTCCTATAAAATACAACTTGAGTGTCTTCAAGTTCTGGGTGAACAGGTTGCTCATAGGTTGGTGTGCTCCATCGTCGCCCATATCAACGCTTACCATAATACTAGGAGTAAAATGGCAGGATACTGCAATATTTAGTTCATTAAAATTATCGGGTTTATTTTTCTGTCCCCTCTTACTGTTGGTAGCTTTACAATTAGGGTTCAATTTAAATACTTCTAGTTACCAATTAACCCTCCATTGGAGGTTCAATTATAGCACCCCGTGCGTGGGTTTCTTAGCACATGGCCTTCATTTTATAGAACAAATTACGGCGAAAGGGTAAAGTGTGCCCTTTGGAAAAATGCACTGTCAATTTAAAATATTTAAAATAAAAGTCGAAGGCAAATGAGTCTATTAATATTTTATAACCTAGATGGAAACTACCGAAGGACACACGTAATTTTTACCTTGCATACTTATAAGATATTCATTTCTATGATGACATTGGGTTACTTAGATAGTCAAGGAGTTAGTTGTATCTTTATTAACAACATACCTAAGAGATACATGAATGAGATAATTTTAAAGAAAGCTGTGATTTGAAAAAATCACGGACATAATTGTGACTTATGACTTTGATATCAAGTTCAAGTTTTTAGGAATTACAAATGAAGTTATGTTATTTACTGGCTAAATATGTACTACTAGCGCAGAAGTCTTTTTCTGCCTTATGCCAAACTGCTTGAATACGATATGTTTTTTGCGATTCTCTATTGCAACTTTATCGTTTATGTCATTGACTATCTATTCATCTTCTCCTTGATAGTTCTTTATCTTTCCATTTCCACTAGCACAGCATTTTGAAAACTACATATAATCCCGCCCTAATTGTAGCAATTTTTTCGACAAATGAGTCTAAACCACAACAATAGGATGCTCAGCAACTCCTAGTCCAACGAACTTACATATATTATGGAACACTGAGCTTACGAAGTAGTAGCTGAAAAGATTAGGTGTAATTGGGTAATCAAAGTTACGTGCCCCGAGGTACTCCTTCTGACATATTCTATCTGCTCTAAAATTTATAAACTTGTGGTAGGTTCGCCGTAATATGACTGTCCAAGCCCTGCTGACATTTACAATTCCTACCTTTGAATTGCAATGGGGTATTTCCTAACAAAATTACCCTTCTATAATATGTTTGACAACCACCCTGAGTGGTGCGACCACTGCAACCACGAATGTGGCCTCATTTTAGAATTCTTTAAAAAAACTCTTGAGTTGCTTTGGTGTAATTTTACAAGGTACGGTCAAGAATTTGTCATTTTAAATATTGTGCCTAACGACATGACTCCATTTTAAGTGGTCAATGTTTTGTAAACTTAGATGACTTTACGAAGGGCATTTGCTGTTTAGACAGCAATACAGCGATCTTACTATTTACACAATAGGAAATTAGATTGGAAAACTTATCACTATGGCTTGAGTGCAGTTCCATTATTATTTTTAGATATTCATTTACACAGACTTCACAACTCCATTTCTTAATTACCATCATCGTCGTCCACTACTGTATTATGGGTTTCCTCTATATAAGAGGGGTTTGCTATAATCACCATACTTGGCAGGTGAGTCGATGTACTAATGGTATCTCTGTCGTTTTGTTCCATTGCATCACGTATCATATTAAGTTGCTTGATTTGTTGACATCTTCATTAAACAATTAAGGGTGTCATTATACTTACAATTTTGCAAAATTACCTATCATTTCTAATAGAATGACAAATTAGCCTTTCTTATTTAATTTTGCATATTAAATTACGTTTTGTAACCGTTCGATAAAAGGTAGAACCTAAGACCTAGAAAGGCAAGCCCTGAAAATCTAGGACGAATATTTATTATTCATGGGGCCACGTCGTTTTCTTTGCTATGTAATTGATATTAAGGCTGTACAGTGTACGGTGCATCGTATTGATTTGTCTAATAATAAAATAGTCAATATTCTATTGGGTGTCCATACTTATTGCTTCGTATTGTTACTGCTTCGGTAGCCCGGCAACGTCCATAATATAATGGATGGTGCCCTTAGTGCCTTACAAGAAATGCATGACCTGACGGACTGAGCGGACGTTTCGACACCACCCCTAACTTGCATTTTTAAATATCTTTTTCTTTTTATTTTTTAAATTAACTTAAAGAATATTAAATAAAAACTTCTATTTCTTTTTGTACTGCATTGTCGCGAATTTATTTCCCTTAATTTTTTCGGTCAATATGGTTTTGCATTTGTGGAAGACGCATAAGTTTAGAAAGAGACTGGCGTGGTGCGGGTTCGAGATGCTGACCTGTTCTATAGGTACGTGCACAATATTTATGTGTGATTTACTTAATTATTTCTTGTAATTTAATAGTGACACAGTCTATGATATCATGTTTTATGAGTCAATTTTATAGATGTTGGTATAAGGCTTTCTGCCTTATCAGAAGTAGTTACGTTAGAGATTTTTAGTTTGCTCCTGTTCCTTTTGTATTTTTCATGAGTATCAACTAGACTTGAATAACTGATTAATTATTTTTCTTGTCATTGCTTTCGGAAACTGGGATACCGGGATTATATGAAGGTGAGTTGCAAACTTATTAAGAAGCACTTTTTATGTTGATGTAAATTAATCGTAATAAGAAAATGTAAGACTGCCTCGTTGGCCGAGTGGTCGCAAATGCCGGGCAAGGGGTCTCGGGTTCGATTCCCGGGTTGGGCAAAGTATTACTGGGTTTTTAAAAATACTCAGTAGTGGCACGGAGTCTGGAATTGTGCCCGGTATATGGCAATAGGCTCACCCCCTATTACATGGGACTCATAACATAAATAGTGAAAAGTGGGTGTTACATTGTACAGTGGCATAATGTGCACCTCTGCCTACCCCTTCGGGGATAAAAGGCGTGATGTTATGATGATGATGAGAAAATGTAAGACGATTTTATGCCAACAATGAAAACCAATGATTAATTATGTTTTTTTACGTCAAATAATTTTGTGGCTGTAAAATTTAATTTTAAACTTAATGTTAATACATACTTGAATAGGATATGCAATAATTATGCATATTTTATTAGTTTTTATTGCATAAAACTTATTCGTAAGTTATAGATAATTTTTAGTTACTGCACTATTTACTTATCGGTTGTAACTTTCATTCTCGTTGACATTGGACTACTTTATTCACTTAAACTACAACACGGTTTTAAATTTTATACTTATAGAGTATTCGGAGTAAATCATTTCGCTCGTGTATTTGGGCTGAGTGCGTTTAATTGTGAACGATAAATTAAATATTCACCGCTCCCACCATTTCCATTCCTGTCCAGCTTTATAAATACTGACGTAAATGCAGTTTTATTTAAAAGCTTTGTGAAAACCGGTTATCCCGGCAGGTGAGCAAACACCAAATAGTGTTTGAGACAGCTCGGCGTAATATCCGGGCCAGAACAGTATGTCCCAATCATATCCGGACTCATCCTCGTTCCAACGATGACATATTGGTGCATTCAATTTGATAGAGACATTTCGTTTTAGTTTAGAATGTTGTTTCATTTAAAATGTGTCACTAACACAGAGTAGAACTTATTAAACTTTCTAGAAAATTGTACAGAGCAGGCGCAGTAAAGAAGGTTACAAAGTAGGTACATTTTATGCCAATACACATAATTTATTCAGAAACTGTATTGCGGATTATTGATTGCATTTTAAATCGAGCTAAATAAGTTGTCGGCGAGGTCGCAAGAAAATTATGCTTGTAACGTAGGTACTATAATATGCACAGGTCTTGGGAAAACTGTGGATCGATAACACATGCACTACTTGCATACTCTATTATTGATAACGGCAGTAATTTTATGGCGCCGTAGCGAAGTATGAAACAAAAGAGAAACTTAACCTTTTTGTCCTCTAATCTCAACTGCACTTCCCGCTATTGATTGTTATCTGTAATAGCATCTTGTCTTGTTGAGATAGAGTTGATTTTTGCGTGGGATTTATTTTGCGATTGTGAGACATACATAGTGCGTTGAGTTGGGACACTCATGATGATGTTAGGTGCATACCAATGAGAGGGAAACAATGAAGCGGTGTGGGTCTGGGTATGGTAGGACGGCGAGGTTTCTTCGGTACTTATATTGCTTTCTTTCGAGCATCGATGACGAGCAGCGACCTTGTTAGATAAAAACGTGCGGACTGCGGGGTTATTCGTCAATGACAGTTACTGTTGAGGCTGAAACATCGTCACTATAATAATAATTAAGTGAATGAGTCAATTACTTTGTTATTGTTTCGGCTGTTTACTTCACGATAAGGCGTTTTCTTTTATCAAAAAAGTAGTTACGTAACATCCAGTTGAGCTGTCCTGTGACTAAAATGTTCGGATATTATCTAAGTACTTTATTTTGGATTGAAACGCAGTTTTATAAAATGTATTACGACGGTTTTATGGTTTTGTTATTGAGGATGTTCCAAACTCGAATCAACACGTGATTGGAGTTATCTCAAGAACCGAAGATAGGCACTCTTGGATGGCTATGCAGAAGATCTTACAGAAGATGGCGCTTAGCAGACGCGATCTTCAATAACAGAGAACGAAAGAAGAACAATAGAATTTTTCGTAGTTGTATTCAGATTCGATATTACGTCATATAAGAAAAAATGTATACATAGATTATATGAGATAAATGATATATATGAAATTGAAACTACCATTAAAGAGTATCGTTTTTAGTTAGTTACATTCAATTCAAGTCCCAAAACTACCGTTCTACGCGTAGGTAATAAAGAGAAACACTACATTACTATTTGTTCGCAAAAGTAAATTTAATTTAAGGACATTAAATATGTAGTAAGTGTTCGGAAAATTGGTCATTGTTACCAACATGTTTGAAGAAAAACATTATGAAGAAATAATAAACGACTCGTTTTACTTTTTATTTTGTTAGCAACGTTGTTGTTAAAACGATTTCTTTATAAAGTTTGTGAATGAAAATAGTTTGGAAACGGAAAATATTGTATATTATGTTTGTATGTAGGTATAGTAATTGAAAATTATAATTAAGAATTTATGTACGGCGGCGCCACGTATGTTTCTGTTCTTCAATATAATTTTACACTAATTTATTTTAAATATACCTACAGTAAAATTCGAGTAGTTATACTTAACTCGTCGAGTACCGGTTTTATAGACACAATTAAAGAACAATAGGTCGCGGTCACCGGTGGCCGCTTGGTGTTTGACAGTTTAAATTTAAATCTATTAAAAAATAAAGAGTTTTCTAACCGACGATTGAAGGTAAGCCCCATAATAGGTAGTATATTGATAGACGTATACGCAATGATAAATGAATTTAATTAAATATATTTATGTACTAATTCCGCCGGGTGGAGGATGCATGGCGGAACGTGCGCGCGCGCCTCCTCCGTTTCAAGGTGATCCACGCTTAGATCATTACATACCAATCGTGTCACGTTTAGCCAAATACCATAGTACCAACACGACCACAACTATGGCAATAGTAAATATTTGACTATTTAAAAATCAATGCTGTTTTGTTGTTCTTCATAAAATCTATACAAACCGATAAAAGTTTGTGTATATTTTACTAGCTTTTACCCGCGGCTTCGCTCGAGTCACAAAAGGATAAAAAGTAGCCTTTGTACATACAGCGTAGCTTTGTACTTTGTACATACATACACTACATACAGCGCCATCTATACCAATTCTTTTGTTTTCCCTCGGGAATACCAAAATTTTCCGGGATAAAAAGTACCCTATTATTTAACTCGTCGAGTACCGGTTTTATAGACACAATTAAAGAACAATAGGTCGCGGTCACCGGTGACCGCTTGGTGTTTGTCAGTTTAATCCAGACTTCTAACTTTACGTCTGCAAAAATTCAAAGCAATCGGTTTAGAAGTTACGGCGTGAAACCGGAACAAACAAACAAACTCACTTTCCCATTTATAAAGATAACGCACGATAATATGTAAAGATAACGCACGATAATATGAAATTACCACTATTATGTCTTAATGAGAAAATTGTCTATACAGGATAAAACGAATACCAAACCCTGTTAAAAAGTTATAACGTTAAAAACAATTATTTTTTTCTTGTACCTACTATTTTCTGACAAATAACAGAACGTCACATGACAATATTACAAAATATATCCAACAATAATTTTTAAAACGCAGTTCAACCGCAAAGATGTAATAATACTCAAGTAATCATCTAAGAGTTAGTTATGTCCCTCCTAAGAGGCTTTCGTTTATATCCTAGGATCATTTAGTATCATGTAATTAAGAGCCAATGATCCTGGAAGACAAAAGGTTTTAATCCCAGCTTATTGTGTAGTGTACAGGGTACACTTCAAAAATATCTGCAGTTATATTATTATCGAAGCGATATCGAGAGTGTCATGGCGTCGTGAATGCACTATTTAGTGCGCCAGGAGTATTGTAAACAGTAACCATTTAAATTATGGTGAAAACCCAATGGGGAAGGATACTTTGCCATTTTTTTAAGATGAAGTAATAAGTAGGTAGACCCCAATCACTTCCGACACACAATATTAAAATTATGTAACACGAAAATCTCGATATATTAAAGAACAGATATGACGTCATAGTACACTTCAGATAGTGTACTAAGATGACGTCATCTCTCCTGCAAAGGCCGGACAATCTTCTTTCAAAGCACCCTGTTATGTGCATTTTCAACAATAGCGGTGTGTATCGACGCGACGGCATGAACTGGACACCCATATTAAAATGAGTTTTAGATATCGCTCTAAGTATCTTTACTTAAGACTTTATCTAGGAATATTGAGCCTTCTAGTCTCCGCGAAAAATCAATCACTTGCAACTGTGAAAAATAATCGCTATAACAAATCAACTTTTAAACATAATAACCCAAAATATAACCATATGTATGACTTAGGTACCTACTGATAGGTTCAGGCTAAGACTGATAATTTTGAAAGTTTTTTCAATTAGTTACATCTAGAAATTTTACCTTTCTTCATCAGTCACAGACATTTCATGACACATGTAGATTTCAAGAAATTGTCGTTCTACATAATACATACCTAGTTCGTGCGCCTCTTAGTTTTACAAAACTTGTCTCTAAATCTCAGAATCCCTCAGCTACGTATTCAGCAGGAATTTCAACGTTGAGGAAGCTCAAATCAATCTTAGTTAGGCACGCCCATGCTCTCCGAACCAATTTTACAACTGTAAGGTTTAGTCTTCAACTGTGACTGGGACGATTGATGCGTGAATAATAAACAACTTGGCCTGTCAGCTCACTCTCT